CGATGCAGTCTGGTGTCAGCTGTTGGTGGCAGCCAATCACAGGGCGACCCGTGTGCCATTTCCATATATAAGCAGCTGCCTTAGGGCTCTAGGGACCCTCTCGCTTCCTGCCTCCCTCTCATTTCCTGCCCCTCGTCTCCTGCCCCTCCTTTCCTGCCCCCTTCGCTTCAAGCTCTCTCTCAATCAAGGGCACTCCAGTAAAGCGTGATCTGAGTAGAATCCTGGTGTGGTGGTTGTTCTTTCTCGCTGTTCAAGAAGTCCACCGCAGCAAGTTCTTTACCTTTCTTGGCTACTAGTCTTAAAGGGAGAGTTTGTATTCCTGAAGCATACACTCCACAGTCCCATGGCATTGGAAGCAGATGGCCTACAGTCTGCTGTGAGACACGGGAATCAAAATTTAAAAAAAATAAATTTCTGTCATGGTTTTCGAATGCTGTGCTTCTCTGATGAGAATGGAGTGTGAAGAGTAGGCCTTTAGAAGAGATATTTTTCTTCATCATTACATTGGCCACTGCTTTTGTTTGAAGGACTCTTGAGGTAAGGGTGAAGACATGGCTTACAAATTGAAGTGCACAGAGTTAGCCATGTGGAATTTCTAACCATGCACCCTCCTGAGGCTCCTGCAGAAGCTAGAGCCTCACACTGACTTCCGGATACTTGAATGGGAAAAGTCCCCATGCTCATGTCTTAAGAAGCTATGCGGCCTGCAAGAGGTGATTCTCTCCGAGTGTGGGCTGTTCAGCGACTGCTGCAAGTAGGTGCCAAGCTTCCGCCATTTTGTCTTGGCATAGCCTCTGCACAGAGTGACCTCGCTCAAGCCATTAACGATTCATCTTTACTCACAAGTTCCTAGGGAATGGCTGTGTTGTGCCAGCCTTACTGATTTCAAGTTACTTCTGAAACATAAGCCATCAGAACTTGTGAAAATCCAAACATCCTCTTGATCGTCCAATGGTATCATCCTCCCTCCCCTGCCACGGTCATTCATATCTTTCTTAGTAGGCCAAATCTTTGACATGGTGCCACACCTCATCACTGCCTCCACCACAGAACATGCCAGTTTGTCAGTTTTAATCTGTCTCAAATCCTGCATCTGCCAGCATAAACCTCTGGATTTCTTATATGTTGATACAAAGATTTCACACATTGATTTTTGTGGGGCTCTGATTTCATGCAAGCTAAGCAAACAGTGGCAGGTTGGTTGTGGGGGTGATGAATGCTCCATCAGATTAATAGAAATCAATGGCATTGTCAGGTTCTGGAGGAGACGCGGGGCCTGGGATCTGGACAGCATGCACTGCCAGAACAAGACAGATGGTCAGAAGCCAACACTCTTACCTCTTTAACTTGATGGGCTCATTAGCAGATTTCTCTCCTTTGGGTCTCATCTGAGTTTCTGGATTTTAAGCGGCACCCGATAGATTGCCCACTAGTCGGAAAGCTACTGACAGAGGCAGCCCATGACCTGGCATACAGAATATTCTACTACCCAAGGTTTATTCAGTAGCACAGACAACTAGGACTTCTGCAAATGGGTTCTGGGGATACTACCTCTCCAGTGGACCACTGGGCTCCAGAAAATTAATGCCTCTTTGTTAAGAACCATCCTTTCTCCAAACCAACATTCAGGAAAAGCTCGAACTGTGTGTTAGGCACGTGACCTGCACAGTAACCACAAAAGGTGGATTAAATTGTCATCACCACTGTATTTGCTCTCATTACTTTGGGTGGGAACTGAGGACTGAGAATTTTGTTCAAAAGAAAAAGATTGGAAAATGGAAAAGACGAAACTTGTCTGTGTGTCTATAGAGTTAGGAAGACCTGTGGCCACTCACAGTGGTAACACGTCTGTTTATTGTCGGTTATGAAGGCAGACAGATAAGCCTGAGACCAGTGTTTAGGGGCACTAAATTACTTCCTGCTCATGTCTTCTCCCCTCTTCTTGTAGACCCCAGGGATTCTCAGGTTTCTTTCTCCTCCTTTTATCGTCTTGGGACATGTTTCCATCCTCAAGGTTCTCTCTTCTCCCCTACTCTTGTCACAAATGAGTATCATCAAAGGAAAAAGAGTGTGGAAAAGAAGCTTAAACCTGTCAGTGTTCATAGTCAAGATTCAACCAATAGAGACACCGACTTTCTCTTTTAAGTGTCTCATTGTTTTCAGTGATTTCCTTTCTAGGTGGTGTCTTAGGTTTTCTCTTGTTTGGAGTTGGCTCCTTCCACTGTAGCTTGGGAGAGCTGCTTAAATTATGAAGATGACTCTAAATCAGTTTTATACTCTTTGCCCAAGTCTGAGTTATTTCTACATTTCTTCATCTCTTTATTAGTGGCTCACACACATGCTTTAAATCACCCTCTGCAAGTGCTTCTTCACCCCAAGAGCCATCTCCTTGGCTCTGATGCTGTCTGTATCCTGGTAATTTGCCAGCAGAATGTTCTCCAGCCAGATTCCACTGCTATCCCTGGCTCTCTGACATCTTTTCCCACACACCCTGCTTGTGAGCATCACCAGGCTGCTTATGTTTCTCTGTTTACTTCTTTGAAAAGCACCACTGTTCTTGCTTTTCCTAGCTTCATACTTCTCCTCTATCTTACTTTTCTATCCTTTCCTCAAGGGTCAAACCCACTGTTTGGCCTTTTCTTTTACTTTTCAGACTTGATATAAGTTGTCCTGGAAGCTGAATACAGCTCATGACTTCAATATCACCGTAACAATGACCCACAAGTTTTCACACCTTAACTGAAAAGTAGCATCCAGTGGGAAATGTCCAGGCAGAGTCCACTATTAATCTTTAATGTATTATGCCTTAGCTTCATATTTCTGACCTTCCCATCATTCCAGAATTCTGTTTTAGTACATAAAATTAATTCCTGTAACTGTTTGTTTATAAGTCCATTCATTGATTCCTTAACTTGTCCAATAAGCATTTACCAAGTGTGTATTCTGAGTCGAGTTCCAAGCAAGGCAGTGGCAGTAATGACATATCTTGAGTTTGACACTGAAGTCTTCCATCCATTAATATCACCCTCACACAAACTGTTCTCCCATGATTCCCAGCATTTCTAAGACCTGTAGCCTAACTAGTTTCTATCATACACACTAATGAGTTCGTTCTCACCTCTGTGCCTTTGGTCTTTTTTTATTTCTGCCTACAATAACTTCTTCCCATTTTTCTGTCATCTAAAGTCAATATTTCCCATAAGTCACATATATTTTGAGAGTGTTAATATAATTTCATTTCTAATTTCTACATTCCTATATTATGTTTTGATTCAATGGTCCCTTCTTTCTACTGTGATCATAGGAATTAGGAGTATTTTGGTAACACATTTGTCTTAGGGTCCTTTAGTGAGGTTGTTGTAGCAATGAAAACCTTCCTGAACAAGAATAATATTAAAACACTTTTAAACTTAAACTCCTTTATCCCTCCATTAATTGTTTAGCTCTTTGCAAAACTGTATGGGTTTCTAGAGGGTGTGAGGCCTGTGCTAGGATGGTTACACACACACCAGCTCCCCTGAAGCCTAACAGTACTTGCTGGCAGATTCAAGCTCAGCTACAGGAGAAACTAGTGTAGAATATGGAAACCAGACATAGTGAACCATCTGCAGCATGTAAGGGTTATTCTGGTGCCTATGAGGCTTCATGGTGGACCTCTTCTAGAAAGTGTAACTCAAATGAATGCCCAATAAATACCTTATGGGAAATACAGTCTGTTATTTCAAGAATAAGGAACACATCAACACGACCATAAAATCCGCCTTTTCTTCAACACCTCTGTGATTCATCCAAGTGAGAAAGTCCTTAGTGAGAGCTTCCACTGTTCAGATTGTGGCATCTACACAAGACTTGACCCATGACAAGTCTGCCATTATCACTGGTAGATGTCCTTAAGGTCGTGGGCGCATGCTAGAGTTGAGGGATAGTGTAGGAGCCAGCTTTCATCAAGAAATTATCCTATAGCCTTTGAAGACTCTTTCACATGGTAAGTGACTACACCTTATAAAACAGCCCAGCTAGAATGGACCACAGAGTCACCAAATTATAACGACTGTATTATGTGATTTAGCGGAAGGGGGGTATTGTGATAACTGGAATTCCTTACTGCTCTTCTACTCAACAACAAAAGCAAGGCATTACTAGGAACTGACACTGCCCTGCTCAGGACTAGAGTACTGGTCCCAGGCATAAATGTCTCTGACAGTAGTCTCAAAGTGCAGCCCACGGCTTGGTAGAACATGCCATGGCCAGATGCACATGGACTTCTAGAGACATGGGTTATATGCACAGGGTATCTGATCATGGGACTGAGTCAGCACTGATGATTTCACCCTATGTCAGCCAACGACTCGTGGGGTCAGACTTTCATGCACAGCTTCACTTGTGTGGGTTGTAAAGGAAGAAAAAAATGAAGCTAAAGCAAGCAATAATCCTCATCAGTGATGCTAAAGTCTGGACTTCTCATCCTGATACAATGTTTAACTCTCATTATGAACTTGAGAAGTTGATGATTCTAGACCCTCATAAGCCTACCTGTAAAATAGGCTTACTTTTATGGAATCAGATATTCAAGGGCCCAGAGACAGTAACGAGGAAGCACAACATCTTAGGAAAGCTGTCACCTATGTATGTTTGGTTTCTTTCTTTATTTTTGCTTTATAGTATTTACTTTCTACTTTATTCTCAGGACCTGTCAAAGTACATGCCATATAGTAAGGCAGGCATGCATGGAGTGTAAAACAATGAATGGACCAGGGTTTTGGTAGTCATTCATTCTTTCAAGAGTGATCAATAAATTTCTAAAAGCTTGCAGAATATCTGAATTTCTTTTCTACATCTCTTTCTCTTTCTCAGTAGTCAGTTTACAAACATCTCAACTTAAATCCCAATCTGCATTTCATTTCACGGGCATAGTCGGCTGTGAAGTATGAGTTCTGTGTGATTGACTTGGATACCAGTCACTCACATGGTTAAATGGACTCTCTTTTTATAACTAACAACCAGGAAGAGAATGAATGCTGCCTGCCACTACTACGAATTGTGTACTTGAGTTTCCTGTGTTTGGGGAGATAAAAGGGTCACCATACCCAGAGTGTAATGGATGTGTCTCACCTTAGGAAACTATGTTCCGGATTGCAGTCTTTCTCCTGCCAGTTAAGCACAACACACTCTCAACATCATTCCTAATTCAGGGTTTAAAGTATGGATCTGTGTAGAAGAATAGAATAGTTTGAAGTTAGAGCTGGAGGTCTGGATGGAGCTACTCATGCTCACACCTGACCTTTTCTCTGGAAACCTGGACCAAGAAGTCTGGCAATACTAGAGCAGAGGAAAAAGTGACAGAGATGGTCAGATGGAAGAGATGTGTGCGTATTACCAGAGCCAATCCTCGAGCTAGTTATTAACTGCCCTGCACCTTCATTGACCATAAATAGCAGAGAAGGCTTGAACTCTACCTGTTCAGGTCCAAGTGTCAGGGCACCTCTTCTTCCATGGAACCCAGGTCACAGAAGGAGAAGTCCATTCTGATAGCCACAGTTCCTTCTCTTGACATTGGTTGCCTGTGACGGCTTGAATAGGAGATACCCCCATGGGCTAACTGTTTAAAACTTGGTATTTAGCTCATGGACTTTATGTGAGATATGGTAGAAACTCTAGAATGGGGTGGTGGTAAAAAGCTGCATAAGGTAGGTTCTGTAATCATGTTCCATGCAGTTGTGATTGACCTCAGGCATCTTAATGCCTTTCTACTTCTCGGCCACCATGAAGTGAAAAGTTTCCTCAAGTGTTCCCACCTCTGTGATATGCCTCACGGCTAGGGTGACAGAGCCCAGGATGACAGAGCTGGCTTGCTATGGACTAAAACCTCTAAGAATGTGAGACAGAGCAAATCTTTCCTCTTTCAAACTGTTTCCCTTAGATATTGTCACAATGTCAAGAAATTAAGACAAAAAATTGATACTGGAAAAGTGAGGTTATTGCTATGACCGTGTCTCACTATGTGGTTCAGAAGATGATAGAAGTAATTTGTGAGAGAAGTTTGGAAAAGAGAGCTGAAGGGGCACCAGAGTATTGTGACCAGGGTCTTACCCACAGTTCTCAGAGAAGTTCGGCATCAGAAGAGTAAAGGAAACACAGACAGTAGAGACTCAGCTCACAGTTTCAGATGGAAATAAGGACTATTGAGAATTAAAGTAGAAACCATTCCCTCAGATCTGGTGAAAAGCTGAGTTCAAGTATAACAAACTTGTTAATACAGCAGAAGAGATGTCAAGGCAGGCTATCATTCAGTATGATTATGGCTGCTGCTTTTAGCCAAGCTTATAATGAGAACCGGGAGCAAAGAGAAGAGGGGAGAGATTTAAAAAACAATTTGGCCAGAAAATAAACTCATTAGTGCGTTTCTCAATTCTCATCAGAGAAGCTTCTCTTTGCAGTAGATGGTAATTAACACAAAACACACAACTGGCCAAGGTGCAGAGAATAAGAAATCGAGGGAGGCTCAGTCCTTAAAGAAATATCTGTATCATATCTGCTTCTCCAAAATCTCAACAATCACCATTGAAGAGGAGGCAGAAAGAGATTTCGAGAGTCAGAGACAGTGGATGATTAATAGGAAATGATATTTTTCAGGCACAAAAGGGAAGTAGCACATATGAACTGACAGAGGTTGTGACAGTATACATGATACCTGCTCAGGTTTAAGGCAGAAAAAAAATACCAGTATGAAGTGAAAAGGAAGGCATGAAATCCCACGCAGAGCTCAGGATCTATTGACATGTGGCTCCTGGGACAGGGAAAGCCAGTTCTCTTTTAGGGTATGGTCCCTGGTAGGAAGACCATGCATCCAAGAGTAAGGGGACATCATAAATTGGACCTGATATGTTTTTTTTTGTTATTGATATTTTAAAGTGGACCTAAAATTAGATAGATAGGAAAAGCAGGGTAGACCTGAAAGAAGTAGGAGGGGGATGAATATGATCAAAACATACAAAAATTTCAAAGAACTATTAAAAAAGAAAATTGTGAAAATGGAGAATTGGGTAGTTCAAAAGATTAAGACTATTTAAAAGAATCCAAATACGACAATAGGCAACATAGCAAAGTGTCTCTAGACTCTGTCAGGCCACACCTAATGGCGTATGATTCAAACTCATTTAAAAGCCTTTTTTAAAGAAGGTGGCCTAGAGAGTTCTCCTTGCACACAAACATATAGCGAAGGTTTTTGTCATTAAAGTATGTAGACACTCAAATGACATTGGACACTATAGCTGTCATTCAAGGAACCCTGTTACTGCTCAGGCTAGTGACAAATCTTAACATTATTCACGTAATGCTGGAATTGGAGACATTCAGAATACAGGAACAATGGTGTCATGGAGTCATCTAATTAGACTTCAAGGAAAAGCCTGACATACTATGGCAGAAATTTCCTCAAATATAGACAAAGAAATAAACCCTCAAACACAAGAGGCACTTAGAACCCCAAAATAGATGTGACCAGAGAAAATGCACAATGCAACAAAAAGACAATCAAGATGACAAAGTTGCGAAACAAAGAGAAGCTATTAAAAACTTCAGGGTAAAATGCTCAATTCACAAAGACAAAAAAAAAATCAGCAGAAAACTTGAAATCCAGGAAAGCATGGGAGGATGTATTTCAAATCCCCAAAGTGAATAACTGCCAAAAAAGATTGCTACCTCCAAAGTCAAATTTAACTTTTACAATTTACAAAGAGCGAAAAACATTTCAACACAAGGACAAACAAAAGAACTCATGACCACTGAGCTAGCATTGAAGAAGATATATAAAGGAAACCTGAACACTAAGGTGGAGCAATGACAGCCACAACCATGAGAATACGGGGGGGGGGGGGATGAGTTTCCTATGAGCATTAGATGAACAAAGGAGTACTGGGAATGAATCAATCATGTCCAGTTTGGCAATCCACCAGATTCTCATAAAGGAATAGGGTAGAAACAAAAGAATAAACAATCAGGCCACCAGAAAAACAACCATCAAAGTTAAAGAAGTTAGTGAATCCCTCTTCATAATAACTCTAAATGTACATGGTTTTAATTATCTAATTAAAAGATGAAGACTAACTGTTTAAATTTAAATAACGTCTAACTTTTTGTTGTCTACAGAAACACATCTCACTGGCAAAGATCCATGCAGACTGAGAATGTCAGGAGGCAAGTAATTCACAAAGCAAATGGAAACCAAAAATACTTCTACCTGACAAAGTAGACTTTCAACAAAAGCTAGCCTGGAAGAGATAAAGAAGGTGACTAGATGTGTTGTTATATGGCAGTTTTCTCTGAGTTGAAATAGTCCCCTAGGAGGTAAACAAAAATTTACATGGCTGGGAAAAAAGAACCTTGAAAGGTTCTCAAAAGTCCCTTCCCAGCTTTATAGAATTAATAAACCACTAGTCGAGAACATTCTGATTGGCTGAGATGTGGGAGGGGCCTGTCCCTCTTTCAGAGAGAGCTCCAGGGCTCCCACTTTCATGAGTCATCATCTATGTTGGGGTGAGATTTTTAGTAACACAGCTAATTGAATGATCCCTCCTACTGTAAGCAACCTTGTGTTTATGCTCCTACGAGTAACCCTAATATAATCTCTGGTTCAGCAAGGTGGACTTTGCTGCACTGGTTAGTTTGATCTGCCAGGGGTTTCTACGGTGAACGTGTGTGTGTTACATCTCCCCACAAAACGTGTCTCCTGAAAGAGTTAGAAAAGAGACCAAGACAACAATTTGTTATAATAATCGTAAATACAATTGCACCAAAGGTTGATACCTCCAATTGTATAAATAAAAATTATGTTAAATGAGTAAGAAGAACTAATAACAAAGTTCCACAAACGCATCCGGAAAACAAGTGCCATCAAATATTGGTGAGAGGGCTGGTGACATGAACTCCTATACACTGCCGTTGGGGATGTAAATTAGTCTAGCCACTATGGTAACTAGGATGGAAGTCTTTCAAAAAGCTAAAAATAAAGTTCCCATATGGCCCAGCTTTGCCACTCCTGTCAGCAAGTCAGGGGATATTTGTACTTTTACTCCTATCATTCATACTATTATCCATTCAACTAAGATATGGAACTAATGCAGCGGACCATTGATAGAATAGTGGACAGAAAGAAATTCTGCATGTGATATATAAATATTAAATATATATGTATATATATATATAAAGAAAATGATAGGAACTAGAGATCTTTCTGCCAAGCAAAATAAGTTAGATTTAGAAAGATAAACATTGCATATTTTCTCTCATATGCAGGCACAGTCAATCCAGGAGGAGTGGGGCCATGTGCCTCTAATCAGCAAGGCCACAGGAGTGGGTTTCCCCAAGCCTATTAGGGCTCACATCACATCACCATACACACACGTCCATGCTGACACGGAACTCCAGGACTTGTGTATGGATGACTTTTGCTCTGCTTAGCTCTTTCTTTACTATTTCTCTGTTATTCCCTTTGGACTGGGAATTTGTAGTCTGGGCCACTGCATCCTGAAAGTGTGATTCATTCTTGGTCTGACGGGGTCTCACAGCTGAGAGTTTGCCATGAGTCATAGAGGAGACCGTGGACTTGAACTTTGGAATTGCTTTGAAACAAAGTTTGTGGGTATTCTGGGAGACAGACTGGATGCATCTTGTACCAAGAAATGGCCATGTGCCTTTTAGAGATTTAGGGTTGGGAAGGTCATGGAGGGAACACACAATGTCCCCACAGGTGGATGGCTGAAGCCTGGGTCCCTAGCTTGTTGCCCTATTTGGTGAGATGATGAACTCTCTCAGAGAGAGAAGCTACCTGGAGGAAACAGGTCACTAAAGATGTGTCTTTTGGTAAGGCTGTATCAGGTCCCTTTTTGTCTTGCTCATTTTTTGGCTGACAAGGGGTAAGATGCCCTTACGCACATTTCTATTATCGGGAGGTTGTCCTTGCCCCAGGCTCCAAGCAATAGTGACAGCCAATCATGGAATCAGTCCCCTGAAACAATGGGCCAAAAGAAGTTCTCCCCTTAATTGTTTCTCTTGGGTACTCACCACAGTAGCAGGAGATGTACTAACACACTGCCCGGGTTCTAGGTGAGACTGTCAGAGCTGCAAGAGAGCCGTAGGTAGAGCATCTGCCTTCCCGTTAAAC